ACAAGGTAGTGTGTAGATTTACTTCTTTGCAGATTATCACCACTACAGTTAAAGCCTACATTTTGTCATTTTGACATTATGATTGCTTGACAAAGTGCTCTCCCACATATTTTACTATGTTGTGACATAAGGCATTACGAGTGAGTATCTGCTGATTTCATCAGATTGTACTCCATAGTGTTGCGAGATCTACTCCATTTTGGAGATTATCTTCGAGATGTCATACTTAGCAATTTGAGATTCACACTAATTGTTTCAAGCTAAGTTCTTGAAATATCCATTAATTTTGCAAAATTCTTTACAACAATAACCATGATGGTCTTTAATTTACTACTCATAAATTAATTATCTTTGGTTGGCCCCTATAAGTAATTGATGGCTAAGTAATTTGAGGTGCTTGTCCTTAATGGCCACAACTTACTTAAGCGGGTCATGGACATCAAGATCAGTCTTGCCCCCCATGGGATAGCGCGTGTAATCCAAGCCACACCACCGGGACGCAAAGAACCTCAAGGGTAAAGGTTTGAAACGCACTTCAAACCTTAAACCTGACACCATCATGGAAGTCAGTTGTTTGCATAATGTTCTTCTAGAACCGAGCAATGAAATGACTACCCTGCTGTCACGGGACCCTATGGGCACGGAGAACATGAAGGTTGAATATGCATCAACTGACATGTTTGGAAACTACATTTAGTCCCTCAATCTCCTTAGTGATCAATTTATTTATGTCCATTTCTGATGTTCTAATATGAACATGATTATTGTTGTCATCATATATTGTATATCACAATATATTGTATCAGCACTTCGGTACAAATACATTTGTATGTATTATATATATTTGACAGTGATTTTCTTGAAAATCTTCATGTCTATATATAGATTTCTACGGGGGTCAATCTGATGAAAGATGACTTGTGCCTTGTGGACATATGCACCACGAACTCTATAATCATGGAAGTAAATGTTTCCACTCTTGTTGAGAGAAAGGGCATATTCTAAAATCGCTAGAGCGATGATGTATTTTTTGGCTCAACTTGAGTCATATTTACTATTCATGTGGGTGCTCGAGTAACGTCAGGATGCTTTATTGCTTCCCGATTTAACTCGTACCCTACTAAACTATAGAGGTATCCGTCAAAATAGTTTCCATAGCGAAACTTATGATGACAACAAAGAGGACTAACTTCTCTTTAACATATGCAACGGATATGGCAAGCACATTCTCTGTGTATCATCTGGATTGTACTACACATACGACACAACCCGTAGCACATGTTGTGTACGAGATAGTTTTTCAGAGTGTCTTGTACATGACAAACTTGGCATACTCGCCTTGGTCATCAAGACATTGGGTTGAAACCGAAACTATCAGCAATTCCAATAGTTTATGATTATTATGATGCTAAATTCTAATAACATTTGGATTGTATGTGCACTATAAGTGACACAGGGAAGCTAATTTTAAGACTCGCACACCTTAAAGTCTACGCTGAACCACTCAGACTTCTTGAATACATCAAGTTGAGGTAAGTGGCTCTTCTCATCCATTGACTAGACTATCCAGGTACTCCATGGTTCTAAAAGACATATCTACATGATGTCTTAAGTGTGTGCTTTATTCACACGAAACCGTTGGCTCATTATCTTGACATCGATTTCAAGCAAATCGAATGGATAGCATTGCAGAATTCTCCTTGAGTGCCTTCTCTATGGCCTTGGATTGAAGTTTAGCAATTTGTCCTAATGTCTAGACTAAAATGGTTTGGTAGAATCCTATCCAAAGAGTTAAGCTCATTGCATTATCTTTACTTTGGAATTGCAACTTACCAACTTTACGTTGGAGTCATGCAGTTTTACACGCTCATGACAGAACTGCATAATATTATTCCCCTCTATCTTTGATGCGTGAAAATCTACCAAGTATTTTCCATCTGCGGTAATTCGGTTGCATACTGATATCACCACCCGGCATACATCATTGGCCCCTCAACATATAGTTGGGTTCTATATGAGGAATAATTGTATTTCCGTCAATACCTCAAGCCCCTCGCATGGGGAGTTATTCAAGGCCAGTATGCTAATTCAATGAGGAACATTTCCAGGCATTAGGGGGAGATTTCAAGTACCATAAAGAATGCCAGGAAATTAGTGAAATGTTCAACACATTTCTGCCTCAAATCCACGTACTCAAAGATCTGAACCATGCGTTCAGAAGATTTGCAACACATTGCAAATAACGTGCCAGATTCATTTACTTACTATAAATGTGTCACACAATCCTACAATCCTGTAAAAGTATGCCTGAAAGAGTGGAGGTACCAGCAAAATTCACTCCACTCCCCGTTCAAAGCAACAGGGGGAGATGTATGGCAGAAATATATCAGGATTCAGCTTCTCGCAAGCAAGGATATCAAGGCCTGTGAATCAGTAAATGCAAGTCAACTTCACGTTGAGGGACACCTAATGGGTAGTATACACCCAATGGACGGAAAACCTCCACCAACCGAGGTCATAGTGCACACAATGACCGGGACATCGGAATACTCGACTCAATCGCATTGGGAAATCGCGAGCAGTCACCATGGGTAACGATCTTTCCATCAACTATATATTGATATATAGATTCTGGAGAATCATATAACCGGAAATCTAAAAATTGTCGACAGACATTTCTCAACTAGATTGAAAAAACCTTTCGAATGATTCAGATCCAAAGACCATGGCCATGGCAAAGTGTGAACAACACTTAGACTGAGCTCAAGCAAAGGGTATAATCTAGGTAGAAATGATCTTGCTCAATAATGGGAAGGTATTCATAAGCAATATCTACACCAGTTTTCTTCTGGGAATAGAATTGAGAGCAACGAGGTGGTGAAAACAAAGAGCAAGTATTGTAGCATAAGGGTTCACGCAGATACCCAACTATTCTCCAGAGGTGGAATCTCTTCCCGATAACTTATATCATTGGCAGTACAAAATCATCTATCTCTGCAGTTGATAGTTGTAGTGATTACATATCCATGTGCATCACTAGATTCAGACATATATGATTGATTCCCGATGAAATCTCAATTCTGAATCGAAATACAAAATGCAACATACATTGTGTAAAATCAGTAAGTCACCATACGACTTATTGTTGTCGGTACATTTGGTACAACTGACTTAGTGAGTTCCTTTCCACAAGGATTACTCCTACGATGATGATTATCCATGTTTGTGTGTCTGCAATGACGACACATGTAATAATCTAAATGACGGAGTTTAAAATGAAGGATCTGGGTAAACCAAAACACTGCTCGTTACTACAACTTGAGCACCTTCATTCATACATTATGGTACACCATGTTGTCTATATCCAAAACATATTGGAGAAACTCATTATGGACAAATCTTATCCATCCATAACTCTCATGGTAGTTCATTCTCTAGATGTAGAGAAAGATCTATTTAGACCAAGAGATGATGGAAATGAGATATTGGGACTCAATGTTCCATAATGCCATTGGATCCACCAAACACAATTGGTTGGTACTCAAGAATATCTTTCGATATCTCCAAGGCATCAAACATCTTGTCCTGGTTTTTTAGTTTCACAGGAATGTGAACTCCGATATCATTGGATACATCGATCAGATCCCACTATGTCGGATCGTAGACAAGCTTAGTGTTCCTATTAGGTGTGGTAGCCCTCTCTGGAGAGTCTTCGAAACAGACCTCATGGCTACATCCATCAACCATTATCTCAACGATAATGTTTCTTGTGTTGTCCGGATGCAAACACGTTACTAATAAGCAATATCTTTATATTGCATATCTTGTAATTCAAATCATGCAACTGATTTGTTCACCAAGACTCTACCCACTTTTACATTCCATAAACATGTTCATGGAATTGGTATCTGACGGCTTTGGAATTTGCAAGAATCAGGGGGAGTATCTTCCTGAATTGTTCCTGTTCAAAGCATCATATTATACTCATTTTCCCTTCATGAGTTTACTTTACAAGTTCTCATGAAGGTTTTTAATGAGGTAATATCAACATGAGATCATATGTCATACTTTCTGTTTTTCCACCGGGGTTTTTAGGAAAGTATAAACGACATATTTATTGTCCTCTTGATTCTATGAGTTTTCTCATATTGAGTTGAAAGAGACAATAACCATTATATGTTGCATAATTTTCTCCTTATTTTTCCAACTGGGTTTGAAGGAGTTTTGGCAACATATCAAATACTATACTCCTCACATTTTTCCCACAGGGTTTTTGAGGAGACTTAATCAAGATGATGATCAAACACACGGTTAAGCGGTGATTAGGGGGAGTGTTAAAACTAATTAACCCAAGCGGTTAGTTAGGGGAATCCCCGCATTCCCGCACCATGCGCGCGGTTGCCACTTTGGCAACTGCCCAACGGTTGCTCGTCTCCTCCCGATCGACGCCTTTTGCAACGGACGCTTCTCTTGGATGCATCCTTCCCGATTGTATATATACGTGAACATGATCAATAAAGATGACACTTGAACCATTTTGGTTTGTCTCTCGTTCTACTCTAAACAGATGTGTTCGGATCAAAGGAATTGTGAATAGTGAGGGCCTCTTTGATTTGAAAGATTTTCAAAACGCAGGAACAGAAAAACCCTACGAATCAAACAACACATAGAAAAAGTAACTGAGGATTGGAATCCTTCAAAATTCCTTTGAGGACCTTTGAGGATTAGGAACTATTCCTACATAATCCAGGGGATTTGAATCTACTTTTTGCCTAAACACTGTACCGTTGCATAGCAAGGGACGTGTCTCTCTTTCCAACCGTTGCATCCCTGTAATTAGCAACCGACCTGGATATGACTGTTTGAACCGTCGAGTCTGTTCGACGCATCTCTTCCAGTCATATACAAGTTGTACTCTTTCTACCAATCAATACAAGTTGACCTTTCGCTTAAACACGTTATCAGCACGAGCTCTACCGAGAGCCTCGCCGACGGTGAGAATGCCCGGCCTTGTCAACTTCTTTCTCTGCCTCATCCGTGAGGACGGCCGCCGTCGCCGTTTTGCGGCCCGTGGCTGGCACTGCACAGTCTCCGCCGAGTCGGACGACAAGGTCACCAGGCAGCTGGCCGCGGCCCTCGACGTGGCCTCCGCGCCCCTGGACACGGCCATCGCGCCGCTGCACGCTGCGACCACGCCCCAACGGTGGCCGGCTCCGCCCAGGCAGGAGATGGCATCCCCGGGCCCGTGCTCACGGCTCCAACACGGATTCCGCCTCCGCCTCCAGCACTGGTCGACGAGCCCGGCTTCTTCGTCTTCGTGCCGTTCCCAAACGGCGCCGGAGGGACGACCCAAGCCGCTGGCCCGACGCCGGTCGCGCAGCCCGGAGACGCGGACGCCGGCCCGTGTCGCAGCGCCGCCGGGTCTCCGCGTGTCTCCGCCTCCGTGCCGAACGAGGCACCACCGTCCCCACGCACGGTCGCCCGACCGCACCGCCAGGACTCCGCGAGCATGGAGGGACGCCGCCGCCTCTTCGGTCGCGCCATCGCCGCCATCGACCGCCGCCCTAGTCGTCGCTCCGGTTTCGCCCCCGATCTACCCAACGGCGCCAGTGCAGGCGCCATCGACGTCTCCTCATCCGAGGAAGATGGAGGCGCGCCAGCGAGCCGCCCGTGAGCAGCGGCGTATGCGGCGGCGGCACCCAGGCGTGGATTTGGTCAGAAGGATTGGGGGATCGCTCCCCTAATCCGCCTGGTTAAAAGGCCACCAACCGCCCCCTCTCCACTTGGGCTGTGGGTCTGGCCTAGATCGCCCCTGGCTACGGGCCGAATTCATAGAATTCTTTTTCTGGATTTTCTTCTGCTCAATTCTTTTAACAGTAGTTGTAGCAGTAATCTATCACTGTTTTAGTACTGTTTAGCCTATGTACACGTACATTCTAGTCTGGTATCTAGATTTACTCTATTTTTAGGACTTGTGTAAATATTTGTAGGCGTATTTTTACATTGTGTAATATATTTGATAATGTAAATAAAGAACCAGCATTATCTGGAAATGACATGTTCAATGTGTTTACCACATAGAAAAAAAATTCTAGAACATGTTCCAACGATTGAGATTAATTTCTCTCGTACAACAAACTTGCAAAATTTTGATACACGCCTCCCTCATTATATTTGGAATCACGGTCTACGTTTTGTCAGTTCGACAAATGATTACCTTGAATGCAAGGTTGTCAGAATCGCGATTCTGTTATACGATTGTACGACTTTACGATCCAAACTAACCCCTATGATTCTACGATTTTACTTCATAGAATTTACGTTTCTACGATCCTGATAGTGAAGATTCTACGATTTGCGATCCTACCATTGGAGCTCCGATCCGATTCAAAATTACGATTCTGACAGCCTTGCTTCAATGTGCACTTCCTTGTATTTAAATTGATAACATACACAAGGTAATAGAAGCGAGCGCATCTACTGACATTGTCAGATTATGTAGCCTATTACTATGAGATCTATGCGATCTTCGACGTGTTATGTTTAATCAATTGAGGTCTACATTATTCAAGTTCTCCACTTGACTATCAAAATTTGCAACATTATTACAACACAACCATGATGGTTTTTAATTTACCCGCCACAAATTAATTATCTCTGGTTCATCCATGTAGGTAAACGATGACCGCAAAAGAATTTGAGGAGCTTGCCCTCAATGGCCACAACTACCCTACATGGGCCATGGACGTCAAGATCAGTCTTGCTTCCCGTGGGATAGCATGTGCAATCCAGGATCCGGAGACTCCTCTACTGGTCGGAACCACGCGCTGACTGAACAGCAAAACTATGCAACTTTATACATTATAAGGCACCATATTCACCCAAATCTAAAGTCTGAGTACTTAGAGGAGGAATCTCCCAGTACTTTGTTTCTAGCCCTCAAGACGAGATATGAACAGCAAAAGGCAGTTGTCCTGCCGGAAGCGCTCCATGATTGGACTCACCTTCGTCTTCAGGATTTCAAGTCCATCAGTGAGTACAACCACAAGGTTCATAAGATAAGTTCCAAACTACGCTTTTGCGGGAAGGAACCTACTGATGCGGAGAAAATACAGAAAACTTTATCTACTATGCTCCCTTCAAACAGGATCCTCCAGCAGCAATACCGTGCTCGCAACTATACTGTCTATTCCGAGCTTATTCATATGTTACTTCAGGTTGAAAAGCATGATGAGCTACTCGCTAAGAATGGCTCTCAACGCCCGGTTGGGCCACAACCTCTACCCGAAGTTCATATGAATGTCGCGAATAGACAGAAGTTTGATGGTGCCTTTATGGGCAATCAATCAAATTTCCAGAACAAGCGAAAGCGCATTAGGAACAGGAGGTCTAGGAACTCAGACAAGGGAAAAGGCACTGCAAAGCCCAAGCATGATAAATCTCTGCTTTGCAACAAGTGTGGATGCTACACGCACCCCACCGACAAGTGCAAGATCCCAAAACATCTGGTTATGTTGTACCGGCAATCTCAGGGCCGCAAAGCACCTCAAGGGAATAGGTTTGAAGCCAACTTCAACCTTCATCCGGACAGCGCCAATGGATCCGGTAGTTCGCATGACGTTCCTCCTGAACCGAGCAACACCATTGAGTTCCATCAGCTAGAGGACCTTGCTGACACGGAGAACATGATGATTGAGTATACCTCAAACGACACGTTTGGAGACTTAGACTAGTCCCACAATCACCTTAGTGATCTATTTAGCTATGTCCATTTGTGATGTTGTAATAAGAACATAAGTATTGTTGTTCTCTTTATATTGTATCAGCACATTTGATATAATAAGATTGTAATTGTACCAACATATTTGATATAAATAAGATTGTATTCTATGTATTTACATGAGATTTTCTTATTGAAAGTTCTTTGTCTTATATATAGTTCTCTACGGTGACAATCCGATGGAAGAGGAATTATGCCTTATGGATAGTGCAACCACAAACTCCATACAGAGGGAGATGAAATATTTTCAAACTCTGAAAATGATGAATGGAGATATTCTAACGCGCTGGACGTGATACGGTAATCGTTGGCACTGGACGTGCCATATTTACCCTCCCAAGCGGTACACAAGTGATAATTGAGGATGCTTTGTTGTATCTCGACTCATCACATACCCTGATCAGTTATCGAGATATCCGTAAAAATGGCTTTCACATTGAAACCCATGAAGACAACAAAGAGGAGTATCTACTCTTCACCAAAGATCACGGATATGGCAAGCAAGTACATGAAAAAAATCCTTCTCTATCGTCTGGTTTGTACTATACGTACATTAAACCCGTAGAACATGTTGCATACAAAGTAGTTTTTCAAAATGTTGATGCATTTCAGACCTGGCATGATCGCCTAGGCCATCCCGGGATCGGGATGATGAGAAAAAATACTAGCAATTCCATTGGTCATAATTTGCTTGAGTCAAAATTTCCTCAATCTTCAGACTTTGAGTGCACATCTTGTGCCACGGGAAAGCTAATTTTGAGACCCTCTCACCTCAAAATACAAGCTAAACCACTTCAGTTTCTTGAACGCATTCAAGGAGACATTTGTGGTCCCATCCAACCATTATCTGGACCTTTCCGGTACTTCATGGTTCTAACTGATGCATCCACACGTGGTCACACATGTGTCTTCTATCCACACGAAACCATGCATTTGCCAAGATAATGAGGCAAGTCATTAAGTTACAAGCCCATTATCCAGAAAGTCGAATTAAGACAATTCGCATGGACAATGCTGCAGAATTCTTCTCACGTGCTTTCAATGATTGTTGCATGGCCCTGGGGATTGAAGTTCAGCACTCCGTTCCATATGTCCATACACAAAATGGTTTGGCTGAATCATTGATTAAAAGGATCAAACTCATTGCAAGACCTTTGTTAATGAATTGCAACTTGCCAACCTCTTGTTGGGGTCATGCGGTTCTACACGCTGGTGACTTGATACAATTGAGGCCTACTGCATATCACAGTACTTCCCCTCTGCAATTGGTACGTGGAAATCCTCCTAGCATTTCCCATCTGCGTAAGTTTGGATGTGCTGCATACATCCCGATCTCACCACCACAGCGGACATCCATGGGCCCACATAGGAATCTGGGGATCTTTGTGGGGTACAAATCACCGTCGATTATTAAGTACCTGGAACCCCTTACTAGGGAACTATTCACAGCCCGTCATGCCGGTTGTATATTTAATGAGGAACACTTTCCGGCATTAGGGGGAGACTTCAAGTACCAGAAAGAAAGCCCGGAAATTGATTGGAATGCTCAAGCCACTTCGTCCTCTGATCCACATACGCAAGAGATCGAACTCCAAGTTCGAAAAACCACTAATTTGCAACATCTTGCAAATAACCTGCCAGATTCATTTACTGATCTAAAAGGTGTTACAAAGTCCTTAAACCCGGCCAGAAATGCACCTGAAAGAGTGGAGGTACCAATAAAAACCACTCAACTCCCTGTTCCTAAAAAGAGGGGGAGTAGTACGGCCTCTGACTTGGAACAAGCTTCTAGCAAGCAACAAAGGAAATCGAGGAGAAAAACCTCAGAGTCAGTAATTGCAAGTCAGCTCAACATTGACAAACACCTCATGGGTAGTATACACCCAGTGGAAGGGCAACCTCCACAACCCAGCTTCAGTTTGCACACACTGGCTGGGCCATCGGAACACCCAGATTCATGCGTATTGGGAAATCACGAAGAGTCACTAGGGTTGCAGGAAATTTCAATCAACTATATCGATTCTGGAGAATCTTCCGATCGTAAGTCTACGACTGTCGACATTTATTTTGCTGAAAAAATTGCAGATATCCTTCTCACTGATCATGATCCAAAGACCATCGTTGAGTGCCAAAAGCGCTCTGACTGGCCTAAATGGAAGGACGCAAGCAGAAATTGCCTCACTTAACAAAAGAAAGGTATTCACTGAAGCAATACTCACACCTCCCAATGTTTTTCCTGTGGTATACAAATGGGTTTTTCTCCGAAAACGGAATGAGAACAATGAGGTGGTGAGATACAAAGCAAGGCTCGTAGCACAAGGGTTCACACAGAGACCCGACATTGATTTCAATGAGACATATTCTCCTATAATGAGTGGAACCACTTTCCGATACCTTATATCTTTGGCAGTGCAAAATCGTCTATCTATGCAGTTGATGGATGTCGTGACCGCATATCTTTATGGGTCACTAGATTCGGACATGTATATGAAGGTGCATGACGGAATCTCTATCCCGAATACAAGCACAAGACACAACATGTATTGTGTAAAACTGAATAAGTCATTATAAGGCTTAAGACAGTCGGGACGGATGTGGTACAACCGACTTAGTGAGTTCCTTCTTCATAAGGGTTACTCCAATAGTAGTGATTGCCCATGTGTCTTTATCAAAAAGTCCTCTACAGGATTTTGTATCATTTTAGTGCACGTCGATGACCTCAACATCATTGGCAATACACAAGACATTGATGAAGCATGCAATCACCTAAAGATGGAATTTGAGATGAAGCATTTGGGTAAAACCAAATTTTGCTTAGGTATTCAACTTGAGCACCTTCCGTCAGAAATCATGGTACACCAAGCTGCCTATATCCAGAAAATATTGGAGAAATTCAATATGGACAAATCCTACCCATCTAAAACTCCCATGGTGGTTCGTTCTCTAGACGTAGAGAAAGATCCG